AAGATGGGAGAAGTTTGTGGTTGAATGGAATAACAAAATATTTTATCAATTCCATCCAATCACAACTTCCTCCATCTTCCCACACCCCTCTACCAATTCACTCTTTCTTCACACTTGTGTTTTGAGTTAAAAATTCATTTATTCTCTCAATATGATCAAAGAACCTCAAGGTGTCTCCTTCATGCTGGCCAAGCGCTTTTCTATTCAATGCACAATCATTCAGCACCTCTTCAGCGCTGATCCTCTCTCGTTTTACCACACTGCACTTCTTCCAGATCCACTTTTCAATGCATTCAGCTTTTCTGTTTCTCTGATGTCCCCAATTCTCATTTTCATATAACCAGGTGCACAGAAACGTATTCATGCACACAGCTAGTTTTGCTTCTTTCAACATTCATGGCTGCCTTTCTATCTATATTTGCACACCTTAATATTTCTCAAATCTATTTTCTTTAACAAATATTCTCCAAAGATAAACAAATCTATCCGTTTGCTATATATAGTGTATGTGTGTGTATACATATATGTATATATATGTATATATATATACAGTGCATTCGGAAAGTATTCAGACCCCCTTCACTTTTGTCAATTTTGTTATGCTGCAGCCTCATTCTACAGTTATTGAAATTCATTTTTTTTCTCCTTAATCTACACTCAGTACCCCATAATGACAAAGTGAAAACAGAATTTTAGAAACGTCTGTAAATTTATTAAAAAGAAAAAAACCGAAATATCACATTGGCTAAGTATTCAGACCCTTCACTCAGTACTTTGTTGAAGCACCTTTGGCAGCAATTACAGCCTCGCGTCTTTTGGGGTAGGACGCGACAAGCTTTGCACATCTGGATTGGGAGATTTTCTGAAATTCTTCCTTGCAAATCCTCTCAAGCTCAGTCAGGTTGGATGGCGAATGTCGGTGGACAGCCATTTTCAGGTCCCTCCAGAGATGTTCAATAGGATTCAAATCAGGGTTCTGGCTGGGCCACTCTAGGACATTTACAGAGTTGTCCCTAAGCCACTCCTGTGTTGCCTTGGCTGTGTGCTTAGGATCGTTGTCATGTTGGAAAATGAACCTTCAGCCCAGTCTGAGGTCCTAAGCACTGAGGAATAGATTTTCATTGAGGATATCCCTGTACTTTGCTCCATTCAGCTTTCCCTCAACCCTGACCAATCTCCCAGTCCCTGTTGCTGAAAAACACCCCCCAGCGTGAGGCTGCCACCAGACTTCACTGTTGGGATGCTATTGGGCAGGTGATGAGTAGTGCTTGGTTTCCTCCATCCATGTTTGGAATTGAGACCAGACAGTTCATTCTTGGTTTTATCCGACCAGAAAATAAAGCTCAGATTGTGGAAGGCTGCAGTGATAAGTTGTCCTGCTGGAACTCTGTCCCACTTCCGCACAGGATCTCTGGAGCTTGGTCAGAGTGACCATCAGATTCTTGGTCATCTCTCTTACTAAGGCCCTTCTCCCAATTGCTCAGTTTGATTGGGCGACCAGCTCTTGGAACAGTCCTGGTTGTGCCAAACTTCCTCCATTTGAGAATTATGGAGGCCACTGTGCTCTTAGCAACCTTCAGCGCAGCAGAAATTTTATTGTAACTTTCCCCAGATCTGTTCCTTGCAATAATCCTGTCTCTGAGCTCTGCAGGCAGTTCCTTTGACCTCGTGGCTTTGCTCTGCTACAGTATGTTGTCTGCTGCGAGGTATTCTATACAGGGGTGTGTGCCTTTCCAAATCATGTCCAATCAATTTAATTTACCACAGGTTGACTCCAATCAAGGTATAGAAACATGTCAGCAATAATCAAGAGAAATGGGAGGCACCTGAGCTAAATTTCAAGTGTTGTTGCAAAGGGTCTGAAAACTTACGCCAACGTGATACATGTTTTTTTCTTTTTACATTTATAGACATTTCTATAATTCTCTTTTCACTTTGTCATTATGGGGTACTGAGTGTAGATTAGTGGTTCCCAACCTTTTCTATACCCCGCACTCCTAGAACGCTTCTGATATATTCTTGCACCCCTTACAAAAGTTCAAAATAACGGTAACGAATTATGCATATGCCCTATAATTTTGAAAACCCAAATTTTCGCACCCCCTGGAATATCGTCTCGCACCCCCAGGGTTGGGAACCCCTGGTGTAGATCAATGAGGAAAAAAAATGAATTTCAACAACTGTAGAATCAGGCTGCAGCATAACAAAATTGACAAAAGTGAAGGGGGCGGGGCCTGAATACTTTCTGAATGCAATATATAAAGCCCTCCACCCCTACAATCACGCTACGTAGGGATGTCACATTTTGCTTTATTAAAAAAAATTACAAAACAGTATTAACAGGTATACAGTTAAACGTATACAAAGTCTACAAGTTTTATTA